AAAAAAAAAAGAAAAATTTAAAAATAAGTCATTCGACCTCTTAAAATTTCTGCTCTTTTTTCATGCATATTTCTCATTTTCCTAGTTCATCTTGTCTCTTGCAATGCGAAGAAAACAGAGAGGACAAATAGCAAAAAATCACCGTCCTTTGATTTCATCAAACATTTGGAGGGCTGCCACAAGGGTGAAAAAATTAAGGGCATTCAAGAACTCAAAAAATACCTCGAAAAATATGGTTATCTTGATTATCATCATTTAAGAAACAAAACCCATGAGAATGATGACGAGTTTGATGATTTATTAGAATCTGCAATCAAAACCTACCAGTTCAATTATCATATAAATGCCACTGGAATTTTAGATTCTGAAACGGCGTCGAAAATGATGACACCTCGATGTGGGGCAGACATTATGAATGGAACAACCAGAATGCGAGCAGGTGAAATGAAAAATCAGTATAGCCATGGAGGAGGTAGAAACTCCATTCATACGGTGTCGCATTACAGTTTCTTCCCGGGAAACCCTAGGTGGCCATCTTCTTCAACACATTTATTCACTCTCTACTCCTGCAGAAGCCAAGGAACCTCCGCACGCGGAGGTATCAACCTCCGCAAGCGGAGGCTGTAAACCTCCGCACGCTGAGGTCTCAACCTCCGCAAGCGAAGGTTCAGGCCTCCGCTTGCGGAGGTTAGAATCTGCAATCAAAATATTTCCGCAGCCTGATTTACTTACCGCAGCGGCTGTAAACCTCCGCACGCGGAGGTCTCAACCTCCACAAGCGAAGGTTCAGGCCTCTGCTTGCGGAGGTTAGAATCTGCAATCAAAATATTTCCGCAGCCTGATTTACTTACTGCAGCACTAACCACAGTTCATTAAGCTATACACCTAAATTTAAAGAACCAAAAAGGCCCAGGGAAAAAGAACGGAAAAAAAGCCTCTAGCTTGTGACTGAAGGCTGAAGCTAATATAAACGAATGTATTAAATTTAAACCTGCCACTGGGAAGAGGCCAACAGCACCCTTGGCCTAATGGACCTCACGTATTCGTATGCAGCCTCAGGGATCATCTGATTGTACTTAACCTGCATTAATGGGGCAGTTTTAGATGTGAGAATTCCTAACTAAGTAGATAATTAGTTGGGAAGCTCTGTACTGCCTACCAGGTAACAGATGACAATCGTAGTGCTGCGGCCTCGACCAGCTTTACAGTGAACATATGTAGTTTTTCCAAGAAGTGCATTACCTTTAAGATACCAAAGAAAAGAAAGTAAATAAATTAGATATTACAATTAAAATTGACAAAATAGAAAAACAGACAAGACTTATCCTTGTATAATTGCCAGCTAAATGTTAAATCCCCACATTATTTCCAATTTAGAACATCAAAAAGTGATCCTACACCCTCTTAATACACGACTACCAAAATTTTGGTTTTCTACTCCGCAAGCAGAGGTATCAAGGGGAGGATTCAGGCCTCCGCCTTGCGGAGGCTTAAACCTCCGCACGCGAAGGTCTCAACCTCCGCTTGCGGAGGTTCAGGCCTCCGCTTGCGGAGGTTGAGACCTCCGCTTGCAGAGGTTTAAGCCTCCGCGTGCGGAGGCCCTCAACCTCCGAACCTCCGCACGCGGAGGGTTAAATGATATTTTTTATTAAATTATTTTTTTCCCAATTTGCAGTTCTTTTTATTATTTCTACACTGAGCTTTCAACCTCCGCACATGGAGCTTTCAAGTTCCGTGTGCGGAGCTTCTGCATGTGTTATTTGAAACACACAGGGAGAACGGGGACATTTCGGGGTAGTGATTGGTCGTTCACTCAAACATTTGCCTAACTTCATTTTTTTCCTTTTTTTCAGTTTTAGCTTGGAAGAGATAACGTGAAGAGATGACGTGAAGGCAAGATGTTGTTTTATATTTTCACTGGTAGCATATAATTATTGATTTGGTTTTTAAGTTTTCCCAACACTTCTTTGCTAATGATCTGTTGCTGCACCGATGCGAGTTTTTGTGTCATTGGTAGTATAGTATTTGTTTTTCTTACTTTATTTGTTTATATTTTGNGATCTGTTGCTGCACCGATGCGAGTTTTTGTGTCATTGGTAGTATAATATTTGTTTTTCTTACTTTATTTGTTTATATTTTGTTTGTTCATGGGTGACTTTGTTCTCAGCAGCTAGAAAACTCTCGATGGCTGCTATTAATGGTTTAGCACTGGGTGGAGGATTAAAAAGAGAAATGTATAGTCAACTACATATATTTTCAAATATAAGAGAAATGTGGACAAATACATATTAAGATCAGTGCTGAGTTCGCAAAATGACCACGTAGTATCTAAATCACTCCTTCAGCAGCAGCAGTCAACTTCAAAATCTTTTGAAAAAGTTCAATTGTTTAGAAAGCCTTTCAAGCATCTAAATCACCCCTTCAGAAGCATCTAAATCACCCCTTCAGCACAGCAGTAAGCTTCAAAATATTTTCAAAAAGTCTATTTGCCATCTAAAACCCCACTTCAGCAGTGAGCTTCAAAATATTTTCCAAAAGTTCCAATTGTTTAGCAACCCTTTCAAGGCTTCTCCTGCTTTATTATCCTTCGGCTCTTGTTGCTTGACAACTGCGTGGATGAGTATACGTCCAATGTTCTCTTAGCTTTGTTACTGGGTTCGAGCTTGTCCAAGGAAAGTGGCTTCTGATTGCGTGGATGATTATACGTCCTATGTTCTCTTAGCTTTGTTACTGGGTTCGAGCTTGTCCAAGGAAAGCGGCTTCTGATGCGGCTTGGTCGGCGTGTTATCCTTGTTATCAGATGTATCAGATGTAGAATCCTATTGTAATACAGAAAATGAGTGAAAAGAAAAACCAACGATCAGCTAAAGTTAATATAAGGTAATCTAAAAAGGATTGATAAATGTAAGACATTTAGCTCCTCGTTGGCATTCTTGTCAGACTTCAAAAACATATCAGAACCCTACAATATGAGATGAATATATTATGTTACGAAAATAAAGAAAAGCTATGTAGTTAAGCTAAATAAACCATGTAATTAATTTAACTAACCTGGCTTTCTACGTTCGGAAATATAACATACTTCGATATTAAAGAATCATCAGCGGTTAACCTCATCACAGTAAATATATCACTGCGCTGCTCGATGTTTTGTTGTTTAACTTGAACTTTAAACAGTATTTTCCTGTCAACCAATGCTTCGATATCGTTCGGGTAAGACAAATCTTCCGCATTCTGCTAGTAGGTCAAATCTTTCTAAGGTCACATGTAATTATATCTAATTATGAAATAATAATTATATATACTACTACTTACCTGAACCATATCTTCATTTAGAGTAGCAGCAGTCTTCCCTATAAGTTGTAAGCTTTCACGATCCCACATCAGAAAAGATGCACTACCCGTTCCATCTATTACCATCAATTGAACCTTAAACCTTAAATGGAAAAAAAGATTTGTCAACTACATTTTCTGCAATGATAATTCACCTAAGAAGAAAGTAACGATTATTCACCTAAGAATTCCATCTGAGCTGAAACTATCACACTTCTCACAATGGAATCTGGTCTCTATAGGGTTAACCTTTTTCAGGCACTTCTTACACGAAAGATAACACCAATTCCGATCATTCTCAACAGCCACAATAGTAGCATAAATCCAACAATGACCAACCTAATACATAGGAAAAAATATTTTTCATAATATATAATATAATCCTTACCAAAAATCATTGTATTATATATGATATACTTGTCCGCAAATATTACCTCAGACGAATCCCGTAGTTGATCAATACTCTTGACATCGCAACCTCCACCTGCTAAGTCATCTGACACATCACAAACAGAACTCGAGGATATCTGACTTATCCTCTGGGTCAAATTCTAAAAATATTTTTCATAATATAATATAATCCTTACCAAAAATCATTGTATAATATATGATATACTTGTCCGTAAATATTACCTCAGACGAATCCAGTAGTTGATCAATACTCTTGACATCGCAACCTCCACCTGCTAAGTCATCTGACACATCACAAACAGAACTCGAGGATATCTGACTTATCCTCTGGGTCAAATTCTCGTTTCCAGTAAACAACCTTCAATAGATGTTCAATGCTATATTAACTAATGTACAATGAAAATAATCAAAAATACATTGTCTATCCACGGTACAGGATAACGTACTTATCTCGGAAAGCCTGAACTTCCGCAAGCTGGGCGTTGACACATAATTTCGTCACATGATATGTGTTACATATCCTCACCTCACCTACAACAATATATCATAAATATTAATTAATAATCATCATGAAAAATGAAACTGACTCTCAGTTATGTAATAGTGTAAAAAAATATACCTCTAAACTTTTTAGCTCGACACATCTGAAGTAATAATATGGCTGGTTCTGGATTTTCAGTATTCAGGACGTTGCCAAGCTCATCAGCCTGCTCACCCCAGATGGTGCAGGACAACCGATTATTCCTATTGCATAAGAAGCGGTAAGTGTTAATCGTCGTAATTAGATAACTAAGATAACAACTATTCGCTGCCAACGAAGGACATACTCAGTATCTTGTAGTAAAATATCAATCATTCTTGTACTTCTCCCAGAGATTTCCTTTGAGCGGACTGTATCCTTGCCAACAACTTCTCCAATTACATCTAAAGACAAAAATATAGATTTATTCTCCGTTAACGATTAACATTAAAAATCATGAATCCATTTGTGTTTAAACTGGAACTCCATAAAATATGACATGAGACATTAAAAGTGAACATTACCAATCAACTTGTTTTCATCTATTTCAGAAGCCGACAACAGATCAGCAAACGGAATAAAATCATAAATATGGGATGGAAAGCTACTATCTTCAACTTCATTGACGTATGTCTTCATCATGAAATTCAGCTTGTATCTGTGACTCGAAGCTTTGTACTTTGAATTGTTGTAACCAATAACGAAGTCACGCATAACATATAAGACTCCTTCACGGATGATGGGCTTGAATGTCTTGATCAAGTTGCGTTTAACCGATGCATGAATTCTAGTGCCCTAGTATTACACATCCCACATGGAATTCATTATGAATAATTTACATAACTTAGGATTAAGTTGAAAGCTCTGTTAATGACAATGGATTTAAAAAATACCATCCAATATTTAAAAATCACACATAACAAAATCACAACAGATTTGCTTCCACATCAAGAATAAATTGCAGTTCATATACTCACATCTCTGTCGATCAATACCATCTCCAAGCTGTAAATGTCGTCGGATTTTCCAAACGTAAGATTTTCCCAAAGTCGAACAACGCGAACACGGAATGCCCACTTGGTTTTGGTAGGAACGATGTCCGTGAGCATATCTATGATGGGAGCCATCTCACTGCACATGAAAATAAACAAAGCTAATTTTTGAAATTTTCCTGCATACTTAACTTAGATTCCGAAAACACGCCAAAAAAAAAGGGGCGGTCGCTTACATGAGAGGAGAGCGTTGATGATGAACGAAAATATATGGGAAACAGTGAAACTTGAAAATGGTGATATAACACTTTTTGCGAGGAGATAATTGGACTTAAAAGTATTCTTTTAAGATATGTATTGTTTTGCCTTTTTTTCAATCATGTCAATCAAACCTGCAAATCCTGCAAATATCTTGAAAAATATCGCTGCAGATATAATATCCTGACAAAATAATATTACAAACCTTGTTTTGTCATTGTGTATGTACTCAAGCGGCGGTAGAGCGGCGGGAAAACTGTTGAAGCAAATGGGCGGGAAACTATCCTCCTTTAATATAGTAAATAGATAAGGGCGCGTGGGGTGAATGGTGGGAAAACAATTGGGGGGGGGGGGGGGGCTACATTTGGTGAAAGTAGGAATTTAATTTCCATTTTCCTAGGAAATTGTGGTGTATCAAACATGCCAGTAGTTCTATTGGTGTTGATCGAATGGTGGTGATTATTTGTGGTAGGTGATGGTTAACGTAAATGGTAGGCGATTTCGACAGTGTTGTTGGGGAAAAGAAGTGGGAATGTTCAAGAATAGACCCGATTGGTGGCAATTGGAGGAGATGGGTGGTGGCAGAAGGCAGCAACGATGATGGGAAGTCGTGCCAAACTAGTTGTTGAATTTTGAGATGAAATAACACAAATAATATATATGTTTCTTGACAAATCAAAAAATAAATGATACAATAACGCATGCTATGTTCTTTTTTTTTTTTCTTTAAAAAAATGGAACACGACTGATACAACACGTAAAATAAGGTAACATAAGTGGGAAAAAAAATACAACCAAAGTATTTTCAGAATTTTAAAGAGAAGTAAAGTGCAGTGGACATAATTTCATCAGAACATAAACGTGGGGATTGAATTCCCAACTCCCGTCTCATTTGCAAACTTCGGAATTTCTGACACTTGGAGAGGAGTAAATGACTTTTCTTTCTGGCAAAAACTCTATGAGAGCTACTATTCAGACTTTGAACTCGGGCTACTTTTGCCTACACATTTATGATGTTGTCCACGTGAAT